GTAGCCGTCGCAGTCGCAGTTGCAGTCGCAGTCGCAGACGCAGACGCAGACGCAGACGCAGAAGCAGACGCACTTGCAGTAACACTAGCAGCAGCAGTAGCAGTACTTGTAGCAGTAGCAGTGCAAGGGCAGTAGCAGTAGCAGTACATGAGCAGTAGCAGGAGTGGTAGCAGTAGCAGCAGCAGAAGCAGTAGTAGAATGAGCATGAGCATCTGCAGCAAAAGTCGAAACAGCCAAGACCAGCAGAAGTGGCAGAAGTAGAAGTAAAGCAACACGAAAGGCTTTACCGACACGAATGACAAGAGCGGCAGCAACCTCGACAAACAGTGAATGAACACAATGAAGCCAGGCGCCGCAACAAGATCAGGAAGAAGCGTAGTAGCAACGGCAAAATCCAGCTCTCATCTTTAATCGGTTTTGGTCAGACAGGAACCACACTTTGCACTGCAGCCAGGCTGCCTGCACTCTCAGCTCGAAGACTTTCACGGGGAGGCCCGGTGTAACTGCGTGTGCTACTGCGCCTACCACCACGACCGACCCGACGACGATGGCTCCTACTACCACTCCTCCTCTTGCCACTAACAACATCAACTACTGCTGCTGCTGCTGCCGCTAGTACTGCTGCTGCTGTTACCACTACGACCACGACTACTACTCCTGCTCTTACTCCTACTGCTCCTACTCCTGTTGCTTCTACTACTCCTCCTCCTGCTGCTAGCCCTGCTGCTACTACTGCTGCTGCTGCTGCTGCTACTACTACTACTACCACTACTGCTACTACTAGTGCTACTACTACTACTACTACTACTTACTACTACTACTACTACCACTCCTGCTACTACTACTACTACTACTACTACTACTACCACCACTACCTACCAATACCACCACCACCACCACCACCACCACCACCAGCACGACGACTACTACTACTACTACTACTACTACTACTAATGCACAACAACAACAACAACAACTACTACTACTACTACTACTACTACTACTACTCCTACTACTACTACTCATGCGCTACTACTGCCGCTGCTGCTGCGGCTACTACTACCACGACGACGACCACTACTACTACGACGACGACTACTACTTCTACTGCTACCACGACTACTGCTACGACCGCTACTACTGCTACTCCGGCTGATGCCGCTCATACTGCTACCGCCACCACAGCCCCTAACGCTGCTTCCGCTGCTGCTACCACCGCCACTACCGCTGCCGCTGCTGCTGCTACTGCTGGTTACTGCTCCTGCTGCTACTCCTACTATTACTTCCTGGAGCTGCTAATCGGTGCTTGCGGCTCGGGGTCTGGAAGCGTTGCTGACACTGGATAGGCCATAGACTTTGGGGAGTACGGTTGCGGCTTCGGTTTGCCTTTGATTTGAAGCGAATCGCAATTCATTCTCCACACCGCACATAATTTTGGAGCCCACATCAGCAAAGTTCTGCCGTCCACGGCAAACAGCACCAAGTCGAGCAGCAGCCGCAGTTGTGCTGGCAATGCAGAATTTTATCTTTGCCCTGAGTCTCGAGTGACCGGTGGCAGTCCTCAGTTTAGGGTTGAACGTTTCTGGCAGCCCTGAGACAAGATGCTCTGACACGCACAGCTACCGATGTCTCGAAAACGGATCTGATGTGGCCGGGCTTCCTTTGCTAGTTCACTAGCGAGTTTTCTAAGGTGGAAGCTCGTGAAATTGCACAGGGTGGCGGTGACTCCCTGAAACGTGTAAGCCCGGCAGTTGAATTTGACAAGACTGGGTGCAACGGTGCATGGCTTCAAGCCTTGAAACCTAGCTCCCACACCACACTGGAAACTTAAGGTTCTGTTAAACTGAAGGTCGGCACCTGAGGCCCGAATCACTTAAGCAGGAATTCTCTAGGCCACTGGGTGAAACTCCGAAAGCCACGGTTCCCGCCCATGCCAGGATGAACAACGCCTGTCCTCTGGGCAGCAGCCGCACTACCGCCTGCAGGGGTACTGTGGACTGCTGGCAAAGAGGGCTTTCAATGGCGCTTTCAGCTTAAAGCGTAGCAGGAACTCAAGCCACCGACCCTCCATCCAAACTCCTGTAGACGGTGTTCATGATGTACAGCTTTCTGACGTATCCCAGCAGGTCGAGTTGCCCTAATCCTACTTGCTGCTACTATTATTATTATTATTACTACTACTGCTATAGTCCTCCTCGTCGTAGGTTCCCAGACGAGCATTCGTGTAGTCGCGATCTCAAGCATCAACCGGGTTCAGAACCAGCGAGACGCTCATGGACATTTTTCATCATTCGAGGCAAAGTACTTCCAGTTCAAGCTGTGTCTACGATCGGGTTTTCAGTGTTGAGCAGTTTGCGATTACCGTGTATGGGCTGACGAGGCTTTGAGGCTTCACTTGGATCTACGGTCCAAGGCTTTAAGCTTCCAGGCTGGAGGGGTTCTGACGGGCGACTCCAAACTCGAACCCTCCACAGTTCCGGTAGGATCCTCACCACACGGTCTGCCAAGGTGGGGGCTCGGGGTTCCTGCAGTCCGCATAAGGGAAAAGACATGGGCATCCAGGGGCCCTGCTCCCGATCCTAGGATTCGTGGTTCAGGGCATGGGATCTTGGCTGAGCTTGTGGACGCCCGCGGCCCTCAAGCGATGTATCATGCCAACCCGTCCTGAACCTGAGCCTGGATCAGGACATCGGAGACTAGGTTGGTGTTGGTCAAGCTGGCAACCTGCAGTTGAAGCAAACCGAGAACTAGTGCACATGGGTCATGGCCACATTCCAAGAAACCGTTGGCCGGAACTTGGAAGGGCCAGTGAAACCGAAGGCCAGTCTGACAAGGGAGCCTCATACAAAGATATCCTCAAGTGTCAGTGTGAGGCTTCTTTTCACTGCCTTCGGCCAAGGCGACGGGTCGATGGAGCTAGCGCAGCAGAGCGGAAGCTCAGGTCCCTCCTGGGGAGCAGTGACGGGGAAGCAGTCTGTAAGTGGAGATTCTGAGGATCGGCGGTTCGGGGATGAAAGGCTTCGGCTTTGGGAGTTTGAGACTGGCGATTGGGAGATATGATAATATGATATGTCCAGGTGTAGCACCCTGCGTTCTTTACCACAACTGCCATTTCTGATGCTGCTGCCGCTGTTGCTACTGTTGTCGCTGCTACTTTCTGCTGCTGCCGCATGACTCTACCTGCCACGACCCCGCTGCTCACAAGACTGCTACTGCAACAACGAGACGTTGACCACGACCGCAATCACGACCGTGACCGCGACTGCAAACCGCGACCGCAACTACGACCAACCACAACCACGACAGCAACCACGACCACGACCACCACCACAAAGCGCGACCACGACCAGCACTAGCACGACCACGACCACGAGCACGACCGCAGCCACGACCAGGACCACGACCAGGACCACGACCACCACCACGATCACGACCACGACCACCACCACGACCACGAACAACACCACAACCACGACCACGACCAACACCACGACCACTGCCGCCGCGTGTGGACTCACCACCCACCATCACCACCACTGCCACCGCCACCACCACCAAAGCCACTGGCAACCTGCCTGGCACGGGCGACTGGAGCCCCATCACCTGCGACTTCTGCAAGTGCTGGATGGCTGCTATGGCAACATCCACTGCACCGAACTCTGTACGAGCTCTCATGTCGAATCGACCTCTGCGTTCCGTCAAATCTGTCCAGCACAGCATCTATCAAGGTTCAACACATTTTGAGACTGCTTCATGCACTTTCCGACCCCCGTGAAGCCGCAAGCCCTCCCTGCTCTATGCTCGCAGCAATGCCTGAAACTACAGATAAAAATTAAACATGATGCTCCAATCCGATGAGCCCCAACAGGCCTTATGTCCAGCCCACGGCCCGAGACAGTAAGCCTTCCAACAGCAATTCTTAACTGGTGCAGGTACTCAGGTCTTCTTGGCATGCCCACTAGCTCAGAGGCCTGCGATAGTTGCGGGCTGCCGTTTCCTAAGCTTGTATCTCTGAATCCTCTAAACTTGAAGGCCTTGCGCCCGTACGGTTCAAACTTTCACCAGAAGTGTGTACCCTAATTTCAAGCAGAAGACTTTGGTTCTTCTACGGGAATGTTTGTTCGACTCAGGATGTTTGGGCTGCCTTTATCATAAGGTCATAAGGCTGTACACTTCTTCGGGGTATGGTTCATGTTTTGGTTTTCAGGGTGATGAGTTGGTGTGTAGGGTGATGAGTCGAGTTTGGTTCTTACAAGTTTTTGGGAGATAGGGTCTACATTGGGAGACTGGTTTGCTGGGGTCCCATGTCAAACAATCGCAGTACCGTTTTATTGGGTTACAGCTGCAACCAGGTTGCGAAGCACAACAAACACAAGTAGCAGGAGAGGTAGCAGCAGTAGTCGTAGTTTTAGTCCAAAAAGGAACACATGCAGGAGCAGCAGCAGCAGCAGCAGCTACTACTGTAATAGTTTCAATATAAGCAAGCATCAGTAGTAGCAACAAGTAGTAACATTTATGGTTGTTAAGGCTCTTGTCATGAATATTGGCAGTATCATTATTCATTGTTTTATTGTTCTCATTCTTATTGTTATTTTTGGAAATGACAATAATAATGATAATGATAATATTCATAGTCATAACCATAATCATACTAACACGTATTGTTTTGTTTTTTACCAGCACTATTGTTGCCATGAAAGTGCTATTGGATTATTGGCTTATTGGGACTAACAGCATTATTATTATT